CTAACTCAGAGAGAAACTTTTTAGGTGAAAAGATCCAATAGAGTCAATTAGGTGAAATAACCTAATCTATCAAATACCATGTAATGGTGATTGTGAGGTCACGTACATAAGTCAAAGCAGCCAATTGGTGTCAATCAGAATAGACGAACAGAAACGTTTAGCAAAACATACAATAATAGACTCTAGTAAGATAAGTAATTTAGAGAAAATTTCGACTATTACTCTGCATGCACTGACTATGTGGGGTGGGATAGGATGACAGTTCTAAAACACTATATTGGTAGCTAGGTGGAGGGAAAGATTAATCACACAGTCTTTGTTCATTGAATCAACCTATGGAATATGAGTAAAAACATTCTGCTCGAAATGTCATAAAATAAGTTAATACTGTACCACTACTGTGTCCTGACTATATGAAACTAACAATCATTATGACTAGTATTGATAGTGAAATGAATATTTGGACCACGGCCAGATTCTAACCAGCTCCTATTGAGTTACTGGAGGCGTGCTCTACAAACTGAGGAACGAAGTCACTTTAACCATCAAGGATTTTGCCTGACGAACAGCTTGATCGTATTCATACTGGTTGCCTAAAGTCAGGACTTCTCATCCCAAATCGAAATTTAACTGAATTCGAGAGAGAGAGAGAGAGGAACATCATATTCATCATCACTTTGACTATGTGAGATAACAGTTGTCGTTTGGCAGACTAGTTTTTATAGTGAGTTCTGATTAAAGGTGGAATGTATGCTTGGACTGCAGTTGGATTTGAACCAGCAAACACCAGATTTATGGACAGGTGCTCTACTAACTGAGCTATGAAGTCCTACTGCTTGACTGAATTTTTATTTCACCCTCAATCATCACCCAGTATCAATCTTATGTGGAATTATACTCTATCACAGTGCCCAAATATTACTCTTACCCAAGGGATTAGACAATAATGATTGGAAAACGTAAAAGATTAGCAGCTTTCAACGCATTCTTGCTCACTTATCTACCTCCGTCTATGTACTCGAAAACTTAATTTTAAATACACATAGTCTTAGAGTTTTAGTCACACTTACAACTCTATGGAAGAGCATAACAACGACAATTATGTCAACCAGGCTACCAATCAACTACCACTCAGTTGACGCCAAATGATCTTCATATTCTCACTTTTGTCAATTCACGATATAGTATAAAAAAAGTTGTTGATTTTGCATCTCAGGAGGTTTATTAGACAACCTTCCCTTTTTTCTTGTTGCTTTGGTTCTGTCGGAATTATGTATACATATCAATAGTTATCTTTCCATCTGGTTTATTTGAATGATATCAAAAAGCAAGTGATATTTATTACAGGCGAATCAAATGAGTGCTATTCATTTTAATGCTAACAGTTTACTATATAGAGACACTTTGCGTTTATAAGAATGATGTACAAATAAGAGGAGCAATAAAGTATACTATTTTTATTGTTTTTTTTAAATTTTTCCCTTGTGTTCCCTAGTGTAACATTAGGGCTTCAGTAGAACATCTCCACTGCACTCCCTTCTCTGCAGCCTTCATTATTATTCTGGTTTCACGACTGCCCAGAAGCTTTCATTTCTTCCTCACATCATCTCCTACATGTAACCCTTCGGATACCCAACTCTTCATTTCTCATTCGAGTTTCACTCGACGGCTGGCCTGGCCTGGTGCGTGATGTCCCCAAACCGTCTTCTCAGTCTATGTCCCATGCAATCAATCTACACTTCCTCTTCTGCATATTTGTTGGACGATAGGTTCTCAGTTAGTTCTTTGACAGAGTGAGTTTCTTGTTGTTTATTCTTAATATTGTGGTCATCTGATCTGATCTTCAAGTATGGAGCGAGCGTAGTCTTTGGCTGTTGATGTATGTGTGTAGTTTGTTTGAAATGCTTTTCGTAACTCGCCAAGTCTCTGAACCATATAGAAGCACTGACTTGACAGACATTAGTGTTGGAAATCCGGATCTTGTTCCACATGCTGAGTGCAGTAGACCTCCTCGCTGATTTCAGATTAATGAAAGTCTTTCTCGTTATCTTTCCGATCCTGGCTTTGACATCCTCATGTGTGCCTGTGCCGCCTATACCTGAAACGATGCTGTCTAGGTAGGTAAAAGAGACTACTTCCTTTAAGTTTCTGAAAACTAGCAAGTTGGTAGAAGAGAAGAGGCAGGGCAGCGAAGACGGAACTTTCTTCAGGTGAACGGAGAGAAGACAGAGGTGATGAAGATACCCAACCAACAATCAACATCAACGGAGGAAATCTAAAGCGAGTTGTCTCTTCCACCTACCCATCTACCTAAGCAGCATTGCTTCAACTGCAAGCGGAACAGACGAGAATGCCAAAACCAGGATCGGAAAATCAAGACAGGCTTCATTAATCTGAAATCAGTGTAGAGATCTACTCCACTCCACTCAGGTCCGAATTTTCAGCACCAATGTCAAGTCAGTGCTTCTATATGGTTCAGAGACTTGGCGCGTCACGAAAAGCATTTCCAACAAACTACAGACATTCATCAACAACTGCCTATGCTCGATACTGAAGATCAGATGCCCAGAATGAATAAGTAAGAAGGAACTCTGGCCTTCCAACGAACCAACCAAGAAGCTGTCGCCCAACAAATATACAGAAGGAAGTGGAGATGGATTGTGCTAACACTGAGAAGACCATCCGGGACATCACCTATCAGGCCTTCAAGTGGAATCCAAACGCGAAACGACAAATTAGGTGTCCCACAGTGACGTAGAGGAGATCATGTGAGGAAGAAATGAAAGCTTATAGGCAGTCATGGCGTCAAGTTCAAAAGACTGCAGAGAACAGAGTGAAATAAAGGCGTGCTACTGAAGCCCTATATTCCACTGGGTAACCAATATAATCTAGAGGATTATTTGAATAACATGAAATCATATCCATCGCAGAAATTGTCTACAGTTGCAAAAGAAATTCTCACTGGCAATATAAACTCGAGAATGAGATGTAACCACAGAGAAGCCATGGGGTTCAAAATAACAAAGTTGAAAATTTATCATAATCATGAAATTAACTAAAAACTGACCTAGTAACTGTGAAACTTGATAAATAAAAAAAAATCCATGAAAATCATTCAGCGTTAAAATTCACTTCAAATACCTAAATCAACTTTTTTTTTCTTTATAGAAAAACTATCTTTACAAACTAATCATTTTCTATTGATACTATAAATTATAAAAATGACGTATTTGTGTTAACAACGCATTGAATAATTCATCTTCCCTTGTCTATGTAACTTGGGTCATTATGCAATAATCTATTGAATATTAGTGCTATTTTGCACTTTCACAATGAACTATCAATTTTTCCTTTCATTTCTGGCTGTTTTTTTTCTCTTCTGATCATTATTATTATTACTTAAACAAACAGATTTTGTCCAATAGTTTGTTTGCCTAGAAAAAAACTATTCAATGTTGAATGTTTATGATAACCATAAGCGGGATACTCATTAGTAGAATAAGACAAGCATCATTCAGTTACCTTGATGACTGTACCAGTGGTTGATATCGAATACTTAAAGCAATAAAGCTTGTATCATCCTTTCTGACTTGTTTGCTTACCACGTAGGTATCAAGGGCTGAAATGCCTAGGTGACATTGTCTTATTGTGGTAGGAGTAGGGTTAATATTAGTAGCCTGATAACCAAGATCAAGCACTCGCTGCCGTCCCTGCTAAGGATGTGAGGGTAGAAACGGGGACTTTGGAGCATTTTCCGTCAGTAGGAGGGTGTATAACCTGTTGTACACACTGTTCTCATGCTTATGTGTCTAGTTAATAGCCATCCTCATGGTCGGTGACATTTGGTCGACCTGGGAAGGATTAGAAATCCAAAATAACCATATTCTCAGAATTAGTCAATGCACCTTTCTCAATGATATCTCGACACTTACCCATGAGATAACACCTACCTAACACTTTAACCACAAGCAATCTATACTCCGTAAACATGGAAGAATGCACTATACGAAATGATATAACAAGATTACTTCTCAGCAATAGAGGGGAAGTGGAAAGCTGTAATACTGTCAGTAGTTCTACTTTAGGCCACTCTCTCACGATTACTTGGATCCACAGTGTAAACTTTCAGTTCAATACCAGATGTAACGTAAACATGATTACTCTTCATTCTATAACTTGGTGGTAGTAACTGGCAATGGAAGTGGAGGTAGATTGGGCATACACTCAGAAGACCATCCGGGGACATTACGTGCCAGGCCAGAACCCTCGAGTGGAACCCGCATGGGAAATGACGAGTTGGGTGTCCCAGCTGTGAGTGACATGGTGGAGATCATATGAGGAAGAAATGAAAGCTTGTGGGCAGTCGTGTAGCGAAGCTCAAAAGGTTGTAGAGAACAGAGTGCAATAGAGGCGTGCTACTGAAGCCCTAAGTTCCACTAGGAACCCAAGAGATAAATAGTATAATAATAATAACTGGCAATGAAATCAAGGATGTCCCCATTGAGACTAGAACCATGCACCTATCAACTTTTCAAACCATCCTCATTGCTAGTGAACAATAAATGAATATACCTTTAAAGCATGTCAAAACTCTTTTTACTAATGTTCCTTTAATTGAGATAGTAGACTTTATTTGCAACGAACATACTAAGTCTCTATATTGAAAGAAATACTTCTGAAGTGTACGATGAACGCATAATTCCTTTCCAACAATGAACTCTAGAGGCAGTCTGATGGTGTAGCTCTGGGATCACCCCTTATCTCGCTCTTAGCAGATTTCTTTCTGTCAAAACTACAGAATGCTTCATTGAATAAAACTATTAGCTGTTTAGAATTACATTGTCATCATATGGATGATACCTTTATTAGTTCTCAAAAGTGAGATTGTTAACAATGCTATTCTCAATAAGTTCAATAGTGTTCATCCAAAAATTGATTTCACAATGGAAAAGGAGGAAAATTACACGATCCCATTTTCTTGTTGTCCTGTTGGCAAGAGGATTAGATAGAACTCTGAAATGAAGTGTATATAGAAAAACAACATCGACAAGTTAATACAAACACTTCTTTAGCACCGTACCCCTGCTAAACAAAAGGAACCTGGTGAAGTGCCTAGGCATAATGTGATACAGCTATTTGCTCAAAAGATACTATAGAGAAAGCATTTGTCTTTTTAGTAGGGATTGCTATTCAGACACGTTTGTACCTGAAGGTTAAGATAGGAACGCCAACAGTTCCTAAGAAGCAAATCTTTTTGAAGCTGAAAGTTAAGACTGACACTGTCAGTGAGATCACACAGCGTATAAAAGAGTCTTGTAAAAAGCATTCCCAGGCGCTAAATTATGTCCTATCTTCTACAACCACGCGATTCTAGGTCTAAAATATAAAAAAAAACTGCCTGATTCTACCACTTTCATGTCCATTTATCAGTTTAACTGCTAATGTGGAGGTAGTTACATTGGGCGTACAAAGAGGCAGGTCCATCATCGAATTTTTGAGCACTATCCATTATGTTTGAACAAGAGACAAATTAAAACAATGAAGAGCTCAGGACATCAAGTGAACACTAGAAAAGCATTGAAAATTATTTATCACATTCCAATTAATTTATGACCCACATGGACTACGCACTTACTTACTTCACATAGCAGAGGTGATTGCAATCCACCTTTGTATTCAAAATAAGTTTATTCCAATACTTTCATTACTATAGCCGTCAAATGATGTAACTTCTAGGATTACTTTGTACATCTCTCCCCCTTTTGTTTCTATCAATATTCATTTATTTTCTTACCATTACATAATGATTGTTTATGACTGAACACTCGTTAAAAATCACTCCATTTACCACTTGATTGGCATTTTGATTGAATTGCAAACCTGTATACATATTAATATAGAGCTGAAGAGGAAGACCTAATTGTAAAGGAATATATTTCTTCGTCCAATCAGTTTTTTTTTCTAAAATTACCGAAGTTAGTCTTTCAAACGACAACTTTCATCCTGCTCAGATGTGAGCACTCCCATAGATCAATGGGAAAACTTAATCAGCAACCTTGTGAACATTCGTATAACAAGCAATAGACTAAACGTATCACGTTAGGGTTATTGATTCTATCTGGCAACTAAAACCTTAGTAGATGGAGGAGTGTTCTAAAAAAGAGTTTACTGAGGGACTCTTATACATTTGCATACTACTTTTGGTGCCTAGGAGTTGATAGTTCTAAGGATATTACTAAAAAATAAGAGTAATTCAGCGTCTGAGACTGCAAGAGAGGATGCAACATAACAGGAACTTAGATGTGACTCTATGCTCAGAAATGAAACTCCCAGTGATACCGAGTGTTACAGGGATCTGACTGCATTGTAAATTTCACTGCTTGTTCAGTGCATTAACAGATTTATCGAGATTTAGCCACAAGAATCAACACAAAGTACAACAAGTTTGTAATACATTGAGGTGACGACAGAAACCTCAGGGGAAGATTAGATGATTGGTTAATTGAAATTTATTCTAAGGGAGACGTAAAACTTTGTATTATGATGAGATGGTATACAATTACCAATCGTCACCTTCTATTTTGAAACCGCAGCGTGGTGGAAAGGATAAGGTGGCCTAGATAATTAAAGACGCTAATAACCTGTACTGATGACCAGTCGTACCTTATTGAAGGAATCCAGTGATAAATATCAACTCAGTATTAATTTCAGAGTTTCCCAGTATAACTCAGCTGTCTCCTTGTGCCTTTATAGTCTGTAACAGGAACATTATATCGCGTATCAAATGTCGAAATTGTCCACTTATAGCTGAGGTAACAACGAAATTCCATTCATTATCGATTAGAAAAGAAAATAATCTTAAATGAACGTTACTCAAACTTGCTTGAAATTCACTTCAAACTTAGGACAGAGTGTTTGAAACCTTAGTATCCACTTCCCTAAGTCATACCTAAATAAAATCTCTTACTTTATATGTTACCGATTGTAGAAAACTGCCAGTGTAATGATTAGTATACACTTGTGATGAAAAGAAATACAAACTACTCGAATTTTAGTGTCATTGCTTGTATGACACGGTCGTTGATTGGACCGAATAGATCGGTATCTGTTGGCTTAAGGGCTCCTGCGGGATGCCTCGATATTGCCTGTTTTAACTATGTATAGTAATGATGGGCAGTGGAATCCAGGATGGGGATTTCGTCCTATTTGAAACTCACTAGTCAGCTGGATGTACCTGCCTTCCAGTGAGTGATATTGTTCCCACCGGGATTCGGACTCTAGAGCGATCGCTTCAAACGCCAGAGAGTTATCCACTATACCACCGAACCACCACCATCGCTCCCGAGTCCGAATCCCGGTGGGAACAACATCACCCACTGAGAGGCAGGTACATCCAGCTGACTAGTGAGTCCCAAACAGAATGAAATGCGCATCTTGGATTCCACTGCTAACCACTGTCCATCATTACTATACTCAAATTTTATTGGCTAATTCCTTCGAATGTTTTCATCTCATTGCCTTTATGAACGTGGGGGGAGCGGCGGCAGTACTGATCACAGTGAGCAATGTTAAGCAGTATCAAACATACTATGTAAGAGTAAGCCAAAAATATTAAAAAATCATAGGGTATCTAAGTAGTTTTCATCAAACAAGAGAACATCAATTTTAGACAATGAACAATTCTAGATGGCAATTCTATACTACTTCCAAGAGTCAAGTAAATAGTATATATAACATGGTAACACTGGAAAAGATAATTACAGCTGATAAGCATTCGGTAAAGGTAGGAAGTAGCCTCTTTCACCTATCTACGCAGCATCGTTTCAACTACGGGCGGCACAGACGAGGAAGTCAAAGCCAGGATCGGAAAGACAGCAAGACAAGCGTTCATTAACCTGAAACGAGTGTGGAGATCTTCTGCACTCAGCATAAAGAGTGAACAACATTTGGGTTTTCAACACTAATGTCAGTCAAGTCGCTGCTTCTATACGGTTGAGAGATTTGGCGCGTCACGATAAGCACTTCCAACAAACTTCGGATATTCATCAACAACTGCCTACGCTCGTTACTGAAGATCACATGGCCAGGAAGGATAAGCAACTAAGAAGTCTGGCCTGCCCACGAACCTATCACCCAACAAATATTCAGAAGAAGAATGTGGAGATGGATTGGACATGAACTAAGAAGGCCGGCTGCGGACATCACGCATCAGACCAGGCACTTGAGTGGAACCCAGATGGGAAACGATGAGTTGGGCGTCCGTAGCGAGGGTGACATGGAGGAGATCGTGCGAGGAAAAAATGAAAGCTTCTAGGCTGCCGTGGAGCCAGGTTCAAAAGATTGCAGAGAATAGAGTACAATGGAGACGTCCTACTGAAGTCCTATGTTCCACTAGGAACCCAAAGGACAAATAGTAATAATAATAATAATAAAGGTTTCGGAAAAGAAACAAGAAATATATGCGCAGAAATCACAGAAGATAAGCGAAAATGTGACAGAAATTTATGGTGGGTGCAGAAGCGTTTTGAAGCAACTATATTGGTTATCACCACTTTTGGTTTTATCTAAACTGCAATCTCACATGATTTATCTATCACTGGTATGTGTATAGTGAATTTCTACATTACAGTGGAAAAGTGATTTTGATTGGTTAATCAAAAGATTTTACTTCAATTATATGAAGTACATTGACGGGTGTGTGGGCACCTGCAAATAGAAACTGATAAATTCAATCAGCGGAGAGAAATGGTAAGCAATGTTAAAAAAGAAACGAAGAGTGGCTATTGGATAACGTACTATCGTTAGAAGTAATCCGTCCTGGGTTCGACTTTTATTAATATCACCACTCACTGGTTGGCTGGTAGATCCGACTGATGAGTAAGACGAAACGCTTGTTTTGGATTTCACTATTAGATGCTGAGTTATGGTCCTGTTCAGAGTGTTGCATCCCCTCATTCATTGAGGTCCCAGAATGTGTTTGTTCAATATATCTGCTTCGATAGCTACGCATCAATTGACATTGATTTTATAACCGACATGCTTATGTAATCTTATAATATTAAGTCAACCGACTCAGATTACTGTTAATGATAGATCGTGGCTAGCAGTGGAATCCAGGATGCGCATTTCGTCCTATTTGCGACTCGTCATCTGGATGTACCTGCTTCCCAGTGAGTAATGTTGTTCCCACCAGGATTCGGATCCGGGAGCAATTCGCTTCAAACGCCAGAGCTTACTGGTGAGTCCCAAACAGGACGAAATGCGCATCGTGGATTTCACTGCTAGCCACGATCCATCATTAACATAATTAGAACCCCGGCAATATCGAGACATCCGCACAGAAGCCCATATGCCAATAGAGACAGATCAATTCGGTCGAATCAACGACGGTATCATGTAAAAACAATTATACTAGATTCAGACTACTGCTTATATCGCTATTTTCTTTCGAAATTGTGTGCATAATTGTGGCAATTGGTTACTATTTATTAACCTTCTCTGAATTTCTCGTTATGATTGATACTTTACTCTATGTCTGCTTCTATTCATCTTAACAGCTGTTGTCTTTACAGTGACTTCGAACATCAATGTTGTGATAAGTATTCTCTTGTCATCCAACGATTTCTAACAACTCAAAAAGAGAAATTTTCATATCTCACCACTTCTATGTGCATATATCAATTTACTTGCTCTTATATAACTGTTATTCAAAAGGGTTCAAGAGCACTATCCCATATGATTACAAAGAGATAACAATGAATCGATAAGAAATGTTATAATTGAACACAAATCATGCTGTCTCAAGAACCTTCTCGTTTAAAGTCATCTATAAAATAAAAAGAAATCTTTCAAAGCCTGTATATCCTTTGTATTCTCTGTATCACCGAAGTTGTTGCCATGAAAGAAGACTATTCAACACTTTCTCCTTTTATAGTCTTATTTTTCAGTCTCTTCTACTCTTTTCTTCTTCCTTTTGACACTATTCACTTCTTAAGTAATTTGCTACTCATTCT